AAAAGTTGTAGAGCTTATCAAGATGTATCTAATAGTAGTAAGAACATTAAAATTGGCTTAGTAGTTCTTGAGAAATCTTTAAAAATAGTTTACCTACATATAAAATTTCTTTAAAGAAAATTGATTTTTTAAAGAAGATTTTATATAGTTGACAAAATGTTTTTTAAAAATTTCTCAAGAATCACCAAGCCAATTTTAATATTCTTACTACTATTAGATACATCTTGATAATCTCTACAACTTTTGTTAGAAGCCTAAAGATGATTTACTTAGTAAGAAAAAAAGTTTTTTTTTGCGCAAACACCACATTTCTATCTTAAGAGATTTATATATAGAACTGTATTGCATTACACTAAGATAATTTTTCAGTTTACTGGAGAATCATCAATTAAATATACCAGATTTTTATTTAAAAGTTTTGACTATCAGAATTTTTAATTGTCAAGATTTTGATTATCAAAATTTTATTATCAAAATTGTAATCTGTTAGAATTGTACTTGTCAGAATTTTGACTAGTACCCAATAGTGCTAAACTTGTAATCAAGCTATATATATTATTAATATGAAAATCAGTCTTTACATCTTATAAAGATTTATCAGAAAATATATTTTTTATAAAATATATATAAATCTATAAGTTTATATAAATATTATTTAAACTTTTATACAGACTTACAAATTTAATATAGATATATATAGTTGTAATATTTATATAGTATTTAGATAAAATTTAAATAAAATTTTATTTATAATTTATTAATTCAAAATTTATATAAATTTTATTTAGATATATATATAAATTTGGGCATTATTTTATGGTGACCCTGTGATTGACCAATTAAAGTCGATCATGTGATTCACATAACTTTATTTAAAAAAAAAAAAATACAAAAAAGAAAAAAAACTAATTTATAATAAAAAAACTAGAAATGAAAACCCAATAACGAAGTTCACAACTAGAAAAAAATCTACCAAAAAAAGTTCAACGGCAAGGATCTAAGAAAGTGCATCCAAAAAATGCTAACGAAGGTCCAACAGAAAGAAACTTCAAAGAACAACGACTCCAAAGAACAACGACTTCAAGAACAACGACTCTAAAGAACTACGATTCTGAGAATAACTTAGAAGGCTAAATTTATAGGAAAAAAAATAGGCTAGTTAATAAGTTAAAAGAAAAAAAAAAAACAAGAATAGCGAAAATAATAGAAAATAAAAAGTGCGAACAAAAAAGGAAAACAAGAAAAAATAAATAAAAGAATAGGAAGCTAGAAAAAAAAAAAGATGAAAGAAAAAGAACGAAACAAGAAAGAAGAAGAAAGAAAGCAGAAAAAGAAAGAAAATAAAGTGGGAAAGAGAAAAAAAAATAAAGCAAGAAAGAAGGAAAAAAATAAGGCAGAAAGAAAAAACCTCTAAAAGAAAAAAAAAACAAGAAAAAAGATAGAAAGTAGAAAAAAAAAAGACAAAAAGAAGAAAAAGAAAGATGCGAAAAAGAGAAAAATGCGGAAAAAAAGAAAAAGAAGGATGTAGAAAAGAAAAAAAAGAAGGATGCAGAAAAGAAGAAAAAAAATAAAGCAAAAAAGAAGAAAAAGGTAAAAAAAAAATAAAGCAGGAAAGAAAAAAAAAAAAAAATAGAAACAAGAAAAAAGACAGAAGACTCTAAGAACAATGACGAAGAACAATGACTCCAAGACGATGACTCCAAGATGACAACTCCAAGAACGATAATTCCAAGAATGCTAAACCATAAAAAAAAAAAAAAAAGTTAGTAAAGAAAAAAAAACAAAAAAAAAAAAAACAAAAAAAAAGAGGTAGAAAAATGAAAAGAACAAAAAAAAATAAAAAAGAAAGGACAAAAAGCAGAAAAAAAAAATAAAAATAAAAATAAAAGAAAAAGAAGAAAGCGAAAGATGAATGAAGTAGAACGAATAAAGAAGAAAACGTGAAAAAAAAGAAAGAAAATGAGACAGAAAAAAAGAAAATAAAATAAAATAGAAAACAAAAAAGCAGAGAAAAAAAAAAAAAAGGAAACGAGAAAGAAGAAAAGAAATAGAAAGAAGAAAAGAAATAGAAAAAAGAAAAGAAATAGAAAAAAGAAAAAAGTAGAAAATAAAGCAGAAAAAAGAAAGAAATAAAGCGAGAAACAAAAAAAAGTGAGAAATGAAGAAAAAGAAGAAAGCGAAAAAGAAAAGAAATAAAAAGGTGAAAGAAGAAAAAGGCTGAAAAAAAAGGCTGAAAAAAAAGCAGAAGAAAGAAAAATAAAAGGTAAGAAAAAAAAAAATAAAAAAAATAAAAGCAAAAATAATAAAGAAAAATAAAAAAAAGCAAAAAACACGTAACTGAGCCTAAAATTAAGCGAAGCAAAAACAAAAGCTGAAAAAAAAAATGAAAGCCAAAATCTAAAACAAATAATTATTAATTGTTTATATATGATCAGTGATCTCAAAAATGATTGGCCGATTATATGGAGTTATCATAACGATGGGTTGCCATCTATAATTTTCCTATAAATTTATATAAATTTATTTTTTTTTTGTTATTTCTCAAAAATGGCTAAGATAACTATAATTAAATATATTAAATAAAAATACTTAACATACAAAAAGACTTTTATTTATATTAATATTGGTTTTAAAAACCTAATTTAAACTCAAAAATTTAGAAAAAAACTTTTTTGTAATTTTATATAACTTAATATAAATATTATACATAAAGTTTATATTGAGTTTGTAAATCTATAAATAATTTAAATAGGTATGACATCTAGTGTAGAACTTAGTAATAAGCGGACTACTTAAATAGGCAACCAAAAGTTGTACGTGTGACT